CACTTTTACCTTTTAATGAGACACTTGGCTTGCCATATTAGTCGAGCACCCTCTAGTGGCTGAAAATGGTAGTGTTCAATATTTTCCATGTCAGGATGAATGAAATCGTCAGATCTCAGCCAAAAATTGGTTATAAATATGGGGGAAAACATACATACATCACTTCGCTGTATAAGTCAAAGGCATGTTAATTTATGCAAAAAACTGTGACTTATACAGCAAAAAATACGGTAAGTCAGCACGGTGAAGCCATTACTCAACAAGTTGATTTATGTTTTCACAGAATAAAGGCTCTCTGTTACACACCGATCAATACTTCTGTCATCACGTGCGTAACATGTTGAACTGTGTCCTGTAATGAGCATTTCAAGTGTCTTCTGTCTTGTAATCAGTAAGTCTGCCTAGTCTAAGGGTGTAGGGTAGTCACTGTGCTGTTTGGTATCATGGTGTGTACCACACTGAGCGTGGACCACAGAAAGTTGACAGAGTTCTCTCAGGAGCCTCGAAAGACAGTTGTTGACAAGCATGTTAAAGGTAAAGGTTTTAAGACCGTCTCTAACAGTCTGATCCTGTGACGACAGCTGCACATACTATTCAGCAGCTCCACGAGACTTCACGACAAATTAGACAATAAAATGAATGGAATCCATCAGAACAACTTTCAATGTAGAATGTATCTTTTTAAAAGTTCTACCTGCTGTTTTCTGACTCAGGCTTAATCACCACAACTTCACGGAAGCTGGACCGAGAACAACAAACAGAGCATGCTTTAGAGGTGAGGACATACCACATATAATCTAATCTGATGCTTTGTGGCCCATAAATCACAACAAATCCAGTATGTGAAGAACAAAGTCTGTTTGCATGTTTTGAAAATGATTTAGTTCTGCCTTCACTTCTACAGGTGCTAGTTTCAGATGGTGGTCCCAGTCCCAGGAAGACCACAGTGTGGGTAATGGTTCTCGTCCTGGATGAAAATGACAACAGACCCACGTTTCATGAAAAGGTCTACCAAGTCAAACTTCCAGAGAGGGAGCGCAGGAAGAAGGCGGAGTCCATCTATCGTGTATTTGCCTACGACCTTGACGATGGTCCCAACAGTGACCTCTCCTATGGCATTGTGGATGGAAACGAGGACGGCAAATTCTTCATTGACCCAAAGTCAGGAGTTGTATCATCACGAAAGGCCTTCGTGGCAGGCAGCTACGACATCCTGACAGTAAGAGATTATCATTTAATGCATTTAAGGGTTCTGGACATTTTGCAGACTAACTGTCTAATTCATGAAGTGTTCTCAAACAGAGAGTTGTGCCTCAAACTTTGCTGCCAATCAAACAGTGTCTATGTGAACACATTTTAAAGGTTTTATTTAGCATTTAGAAGAAAACCCATCTATATTTATTCAAATAACATTCAGGACACCAGCACTGTTTGTGACTGTGTGAAATATTTACCGCCTTTTGAGAGCTGAGGGTAACTGTACCTCAGAAGAAGGAACAGAGGAAAAGAAGCAGTCTGTTGCACAAATAAAGGACAGGAAATGTTTACCGTATTTTCTGCAGTAAATGTCGCACCGCCCTTTAAGTTGCATCAGTCCAAATATGTCTAATAAAGTGGTAAAATCCATAAATACAGTTCATCGCTTCGCCATATACAGGTCCTTCTCAAAAAATGAGCATATTGTGATAAACGTCATTATTTTCCATAATGTAATGATAAAAATGAAACTTTCATATATTTCAGATTCATTGCACACCAACTGAAATATTTCAGGTCTTTAATTGTTTTAATACTGATGATTATGGCATACAGCTCATGAAAACCCAAAATGCCTGTCCCAAAAAATTAGCATATCATGAAAAGGTTCTCTAAACAAGCTATTAACCTAACCATCTGAATCAACGACGTAACTCTAAACACCTGCAAAAGATTCCTGAGGCTTTTAAAAACTCCCAGCCTTGTTCATTACTCAAAACCGCAATCATGGGTAAGACTGCCGACCTGACTGCTGTCCAGAAGGCCATCATTGACACCCTCAAGCAAGAGGGTAAGACACAGAAAGAAATTGCTGAAC